ATCATTTCCCTTGTTCTATAAGTCGACTCATGGCAATGAGCCTCCTTGTTAGGGTAATACTTATATAGTTTGCATTATTGTATAATTAAGTGTTATTCAAGTTTATTTATGGATTAGTATTGTATCGTACAAAAACAAATAAGAAATTAAAATGTTTGTTTTTAACATAGTTCATTACCAACTGCACTAATTAAGTTTAGCGCACCAAAAACTCTATACTTATATATAAATTAAAGTAAAATTAATATAAATCAATTTTTAATCTTAATCCTAGTTATACAAATAAACAAATTTTAAATTTATTCTATGTATGGAGTCCATTTTTTTGTATCTCTGTCAGTGTCAAAACGTATACTGTAATTTGTAATAAAAAATTAACTATTTAACGATTTATTAGGTCAGTGAAGGCCGGTATCGTATCTTGGTAAATAAAAATGTAAGGCCGAATAGAGAAAATAACATTTGTATACACTAAAAATATTGTTTATACAAGATGTATCGAAATTAATCCCGGAAAATTATATGGTGCGATTAAGCTCGTTGAGATGAACAAAAAAGATGATTGCACCTTTCCGATTGGATGCGTTGTTTAAACAATGTGACGAATAAACTGTTGGCGTAATCGAGCAATCAACGAGAGCTATGCGATGTCAGGGCGTGGCTTTACTTAGTGGGAATAGAAGAGAGGCAAGTAGTAGAAGCAGGCAAAATAGGTAAGACTTATTTTTTGTGGGAGCGTAATGTTCATCATACCACAGTAAAGGTCGATACAGCAGGTATTTTACCTGCTTAGGGAAAAAAAATAGCGTGCTTTTTGAAACAAAACAAGACTATGACTGCGGTGGATAGTAAACTGATCGTAAGGTAGTAAGCGTGCAGTTATTTTTTTTAAATAGGCGCCAAGTTCTTATTTTTTTATAGTAACTGGATGAACTATTTAACAAGACGGTACGAAAATACAAGTAGTAAGTAATTGACCTGTTACTTATAATAACTTCGCACACTTTTAATAGCATGGTAAACAGGCAATCGTGTTCTTTCGTAACTCATTCATAGATTAATAATATGTAAATAATTAAGCATTGGAGTTTAAGTATTTAAGTAATTTTTTATCACAACATCATAAATTATTAACAACCAAGTGATGAAGACTCAATGCTAACTCTTTTAATAAAAGAACAATTATTTCACTTATCATTAAAAAGCAGGTGGTTAATTGTTACTGGTAAATAACTTTTATAATTGGTGATTTCATTTGATGAACTGATGATAAGGCAGCGGGGGAGTGTCACTGCAAAGTTATTTTACCGTTTTCAGCGAACAAGCAGTAGCAGTAAGTGACTTAACTGCTTTTTCTTCATGTTATGAGCCAATAATAAGAGGCAATTGAGCATCAATGCTAAGTAGTGCTCTTTTGTTTTAGTATGTTAAATAATCACAGATAAAAATGTAACCAAGCACTCAGTAACATAATAATTGTATGACTTTTCCTCAAGTTATAAATAAATGAATAGATGACCTTTTAACATCAACATGAACGAACTATTTAGTTCCCATAATAAATGTTATTTATTTAAGTACTCATTTAATATTCTACAAGCCAGCCCAGGCCATCAGTAAGTTCACTCGTTTAACTATTCATTCTTGAACACAAAACTTATTCGTATTAAGTTTTTCTTTACTTGCGTAGGAAAAACAAAAGAGATTGCGAGCGAGACTTTCTGCTCTCCAAGATAAGAGTTATTATTTTATTATAATTTATAATTACGAAGCAAAGCAGCTGAAACATGATAAAAAAGCGTCTGACCACAGAATTTTTTTTTGTTCAAAAATAAAAGCCATCAAGATTCGATGCGCTTCCTTAAATTTTTACAAACATTTTTTCTTTTTATTGAGAGGTTATGACAAAATAAAGTGTCTTTTTTTCAAAGTAGCAAATTACAAATACGAGAGTGCGGGATATTTACACGAGTGAAGCGCATTTGTTCAGCGTGAGCTCCAGAGTCCCAGAAATGCTAGAGTTCATATTTACGATACCTTAAATTGACGTGAATACGATACTAAACCCTATTTTTGGGAGAATAAGACTTTACTATCAATTAACTTAAGCTTCAGGGGTTCCTTCTAAACATATGTAAAATCTGAACGACCGTGCCCAATGAACTCGATAGCGCAGTGGGCTAAGTCTAACCTTTTGGACCCATAGGTACCAAGTTCGAGCCACCACATCAATTTTTTTTTCATTATTATTTTTTTTCCTACTTAAAATCGATTCCAATTACACAAAATGAAATACTTATTTTAGGTGGGTAAACTAGAGGGTGAGCTAGATTCATTCTTTTGGTTCTCACAGATACCAAGGTCGAACACCTATACCTATATATATTCATATGTATAATTGAGCGCGCAGTGGCTTAGTCGGCTAGGTCGTAGGTTAGCATGCGGGAGACCGTGGTTCGATTCCGAGACCGTGCGAATTTTTGGGCAAGCACCTCCGTGATTTTTTACATGTGCTTTCCCACCACGCAATGCTCCTTTAGAAGGGTTGAGGCAACCTTCTCGCAGAAAAAATTGCTTAATTTCCCCCAACCCCCCTCCTTTACTGGGAGGCCTTCCATTCCTTTCCTCGTCCCTTTCCCAAGAGCTAAGTTCCCATATTAGTGCCCTTAACAAACGAGCCGGATGTAGAGCACTATAATACAAAATATGTGTATGTATACATATAATATGTATATATATAGCTATAAAAAATACAGAATTTTTTAGAGGCCATATCTTGTTAATTTTTTTTAAGTAAAAAAAAAATAAACAAATAAATAGATTACGATTATTTTTTTAATTTATACAAAACAGATGAAACAGAATTCTAGCAAACATAATAATTTACAAAATCAAGTCGAGCAGATTTATTATCACGTATGAAAGAAATTTAATTACGGAAATAACTATTTTTACTGTCTAAAAATGTTAAAAACATATTTTTACGGTAACCGTTTATAATTTCTCCTCACAATCTTTGTAATAAGTCCTACAGCAATGAAACCTAACCTTAAATATACCATAAATTCATGGAACCAGCTTGTGTATAATTATTAGATTATATTGTACTATGATAAAAAGTACAGCTCTATATTTATTTTAATCAACTACAAACTCATCAATAGTTTTTTTGTTTAGTTGACTTTATGTCTAATTCATCTATGTTATAGTTAAATCAAATTATTAGAAATGAGACACAGCATCATTATAATATTTTCTGAATTATCTATATTACCCATATTCCTGGAATGTAGTCTCCTCTGGTATAGTATTCGGTACTGGCAGAAGCTCTATCTACACTTGTACCCATTCCATAACCATTATTTTCACAAATAAAAATGCATGGTACGTCCCATAATTTCGACATGTTATAAGCTTCAAAAATCTGGCCTTGATTAGCTGCTCCATCACCATACAGTGCAAGACATACTCCTCCAGAATTTCGATATTTGTGGGCAAAAGCGATTCCCGCACCTAAAGGTACCTAAGAACGCAATATTAAATTTATAAAATTAATCCCGTAAAATAACTTATACTTAATGGCTTACAATGACTTGAAATAGACTGACACTTATACTCCAACATAACTTACTGAGTAAAACGTAATTTTTTCTTCTAAAAAAATAGTATACTATAGGACGTATTTANTAAGCTGTTTTTGTTTATGTTATTTTTAAAATACGCACAAAGTTTTTATTTAATGTATGAATTTCTATGCTGTTATATGAATCTATTTGTATAATTTAGAAAAAATCTCATACTAAGTTATGCAATAAAAAACCGTGATGTATGTAACTTGATAGTTTTGCACAAGTCCAGTTTTATTCAACAAAGTTTGTCAATTTTTTTTAATGAACACAAAATTACGCGCTCTAATTTTAGTTGTTACAGTAGCTGAATAATTGTTACGATTAAAACCTACAGTCTTAATAAAGAACCACAACGTTTTGTATCAGTAATGATCTAAAATATTCCGGGTGTCTGTACAAAATTCTTATATACGAGTATATTCTTATAAAAGTGTTTTATTATAATTAATTGAAGTATGTTGCTTGTAAATAAAAGAATGGATTTTAAAAACTTTTATAAAGTAGTACAAATGCTTTGAAAGTTAATATACATTATTAAATACACAAAAATTACGAAAATAAGCAAAATAGTACTAAACTAATAGAAAGCATGGCAATTTCATAAAGCTTTTCTTAAAACCATACGTATACAAAACAATAACATATAACATCGAGCTATTTGACGTGAAGTAGATTATTTTATAAAGCTGAGTATCTGTAAGCCTCCGTATCAAAATTAAGGTTAGCTACTTCGGCTTGATGCTTCATTTTAATTTGAGTATAGATAAAGTGCTTATTCATTTGTTCCAAAACACAAGATAATCCAATCCTCGATTTAGTAGCGAGTACGTATTTTTTGTATTATGAGCTTATCATAGCCCATGTGATATGGGGACGAACCGTATAAGTTATGTAATAGTGTAGGTAAGGGTAGACCTACATTTCTACGGAATAGTTAATAGGATAGTAGCTGAACTATTGCACCTGTACACGTAATTTTCTGGTACGTTTAAGTAGTAAACATTAGACAAACACAATGCCATAATACTGTATTATAAACTACGTGGATCTAATAAACTGTATGTAATTAGATGAATACACTTTATTGAACATATGAAAACAAGAACCACCTGGATTCTTCAATCAATTAAGCGTTGATTAAAGTAAGTTTCTGTATTAAAAATAATGCTCAACTTTTTTCTTATTAGCTCAAAGGGATAATTTTTGTGCTCTAAATTTCTTGTAATTACTAAAACGCCAGAATCATAAATACATAAGGATTTGTTCAAAAGATTTTGGGATCTGTATACTTTGGAATTCCAATTTTATTGTAATAAGTAGAGATGTTTTTTACACTTAGATGATCCTTTGTTCGTTTTTAAAAAAAACATCTAAATACTCTATTGTACCAAATACCTCTAATTAATACCTTTATCGATAACTATATTTTCTAAGTTCTCATTATTCTAAATATTAAGAATCAAGGGATTGGCGCGCGAAGCTCGCAGAGGGTGGAGTCCCACTAGTGTATATGGATCAAAACACGTAAGCCAGATGACTTCAGGTTCCAAAATTTAATGAAACTGACAAAATTCTTTGTACTGTTACTTATCTAATTTATATAAATACAAGCTTTTTACATTACCATGGCATTTAGGTTTTTGCATGAAAAATTTTATTTAGTCCATCTTGTACAATTTAAAAAGATAATTGACATGTAATTTTTCATTTTCCTTAAAAAAAAAACTTTAAAACGATATAGTACTAGAAAATTATGATATCTTTAAAGTTACAAAAAACACTATACATATGTGGTGTTGTAAAGTATATATTACACGTAAATGTTCTACAATTAAGTACAAAAAATAAGCACAGAGAAAAAAAAAACGATTTGAAACTTTTAAAGATACAGCGTTATGGAAAAACTACCAGACATACATATAACCTCTCATAACGTGCAAGCGGTTACATAAAATTCAATCAAAACTTAACCTTGTCTATATAACACTAAAACCAAGTATTCCTGAAAACGTCAAAAAAAAATTATTATTTTCACTAAAGTTATAGTTAAAAATCAAAATTGCTATTTTTCACATGTATTTTTGTGACGTCACATACTTAAGAAGTATATATATATATATATATATATAAGAGCGCACGGTGGCTGAGTCGGCTAGGTCGTGGATTGGCACGCGGGAGACCGTGGTTCGATTCCCGGCCAGTGCAACTTATTCGGGCAAGTACCTCTGTGTATTTTCACATGTGCTTTTTCACCACGCAATGCTCCTCGAAAAGGGTTTAGGCTACCTCCTCGCAGCATAATTGCCTAATTTCCCCCTGTCCCCTTCCCAGTAATGGGAGGCCTCCCATCCCTCTTCCCTTTCTTCTCCCAAGTGCTAAGCACCCTCAGTAGTGCCCTTTATAGGAGCCGGACGTAAAGCACTATAATATATATATATATCTTCGTATATTATGTAGTCGTAAAAGTTAGAACGAGGTTTTGCTCCCCCCCACTCCCCCCCAAATAAGGTAGTTATTCTTTCACTTTCTTGCATTTTTCGAGTAATTCTACTTTTTTTCTAGCTCCCCCGCGCTCCCCCCACCCCCCCAGCT